AGTTCAACCCTCGTCGACTGCCTTCGCAGCCCCTTCTGGCATGCAGTGCCGCGGGCGTCCGAAAAAAACTCGTGGGACTGAGGTGACAAGGGCCTCGAGGAAATTCCTTCAACATCGAGCCGTGAGACTTGCGCCCCCGAAGCAAGGATTCCTTGCAAATTACGGCGCGCTCGCGCCCGCGAGGCCTCCGTCCCTTACAACAAACGCCGAGGAGCCCGAAGACCGCATCAGCCGCGCGATTTTGCCCATCCTAGCCTCAAGCAGCTCCCAGTCTTTCCAAGAGTGCCTCCAATGTGCACAGCCCGCGGGGGCAAGTCCCGAACGCAACGCCGAATTCAACCAGATCATCTGAATCCACATCTGTCTCATCAATTACTTATCGCCCTCACATGAGGTTCTGACACTGCTTCAACGCGGCGCCCGGACCTCACGACGCAGCTCTTGCATGATCCATTATCCGAAACAGGAGGCCCGCGGCAGTTGGCGAAGCCCTTACGGATAAACGCATTGGCATGGGCCTGATAGATTTCAACACGCTCCAAGAGACCAGGATCAGTAGGATGGCCCAACAGGGCCTCGTTGGCATGATGGTCCACGACACGGCTCGCAAACCCAAACGCCGCCCATCACCGTCTCAAGCACCGAGTTCCTCGAAGTCTCGATGGGCATTCACATGGCAGGCGGATAGCAACTCCGAGCCTGGCAATTCCTGGGCAAACCTGCGCGAGCCCGCAAACCTCTTGGCTCCTGCAAGCTGCTTCCAGCAGGGCCGGTGGGTGTGACACAGCACAGCCGTACCATCGAGGGCCAGGCGAGCCAGGCGACGGGCGCTCTGTCCACACAAGGCTGCCGCTGCATGCTCAGCCATCGCTGGTGGATGTGGCGAACCCCCTGGAACAATACCTCTGAGGCATGCGAAACCTTTCGAGGGCCGAGCCGACTGCCGCGCGGGTGTCCCATTCACAATAGATCGCATCTTCCGCCCGGGCGTTCGTGCGCTTACGGGACGGGGGTAGTCTACGCGCCTGAGCCCTTCGCACTGTGTTGAGTTCAGCCTCCAAAAGTCCGAGAACCTCCGAGCCATACGACGACGCACGAGCATCACCAGTGCGAAGGACCTTGGCCAGCAATAGCTTTGCCTCCTTCTTGGGTACCCTATGCTTGAACCTACCGATGTTTCAAATCCTGAGCTTCATTCCCCAGAACCTAGCACGCTGCTTGGCTGAACGCCTAGCACCAGAGGCCTCATCAACTCCGAGGTACGTTAGAGACGTTTTGGCCACCTTGGGGGAAAGCCCAAGACCAAGCACTGTTTCTTTGGCGAGCTCAAGATCACTTGCAACATGCTACTATATCATTTAAGGACGCATTCGTCATGCTGCTCGCAACGCAAAACATATTTGCCTGCAAAGATGGCCACCTGTACAGCATGGGACCGATCCGCGCTCAAGATCTGAATCGCAGAATCGTCGATGTACGACGTAAACTTCACAAGCGGTGGCAAGCGAGCAACAGTCCAATCGAAAGCAGCAAGCGCATACATCGTCATGCATATGGCATTGAAGCAGTCGCTTGCTGGGAGCTGGAGCTTAGCATGTGCAGCCCCATCAGAGTGGTGCTGCCGCAGGCGCGACACCCGAAAAGCTCGCAATACAGTGTATACAATATACAAAAATGCAATGGGCACGTCAACTGCAAGAAACTTCTCACGGAGCAAGACTAAACGAATCGTCTCACAATATTTTGAGCCATTCGCTATCTTCAGCACGCTGCGTCGGCTCGAACGCTCATCTTCCTCAGCGCGAACAGCTTGCGCCCAGGCACTGCCGATAGAACTCCGGACGCAGAGAAGGATCGATCGAGCGAGGGAGGAAGGAAGCGACATGAAGACAGGAGGAAAGGACCAATGAGCAAGAGGAGGGGCAGCAGGAGGAAAGGAAATGGAGGGCACGGAAACGAAGACGACGACGCAAACAACGTTGACGACGACAACGGCGACGGCAGCGGCGACGGCGACGACAGCGGCCGCGAGGGCGACCGACCGCGGCGACGGGAACGGAAGGAACGCAACGACGACGACCACGACGACGACGACCACGACGACGACCACGACGACGACGACGACGACCACGACGACGACGAGAGGGAGGAAAGGAGAGGGACGACGACGACGGCGACGGCAGTGACGTTGACGACGGCGGCGGCGCGGACCGCGCTCCTTGGTCTGCCACTGCATGAAGTCACACTTCTGCGGCGGCTCGTAGGCGGCGATGCAGGCAGGCGGCAGCACGAGCACGTCTGCGACCCCCGTGAGCTGGATGAGGACGTTGTCCTGGTGATCGTAGTGGAAGCCGCCCTTCTGCTGCCCCATCCACAGCAGGCTCAGCGTGTGCTCCACCAGCTCGCCCCCGAAGCCCTTCCCGACGCCGAGCCTCTCCGCGATGTCGATGCCGCCGGTGAAGTTCGGCAGGTGCTGCAGGTTGATGTTGCAGGTGCCCATCAGGTCGACGCCCGGCACCTCCTGCTGCACCCTGGTGATCTCGGCCCTCGCCTCGCCGTCGCGGTTCCTGATGGGGCTCCACGGTATCCTCCCTGTGTAGAAGTTCGCGGACCGCTCCCCCACCTCCTTCAGGGACGGGGCGACCTCTGGAGGCGCGCCCCGCTGGGAAAGATGGGGTCGGGAGATCGGGCCGCGTTGATGGTGCATCGGCGGTGCATCCGGGGATGGACAGAACCCCCTTTAGTAAAACGTGGTTTAGTGAAAACGACGTCGGGCCCAAACCTGGGGGGCGCAAGCCTGGAAAATGGCGGCCGCGGCGCCCTCTCGAGAGCCGAAAACGGACAACTCACACTGATCGACGTGCCGGGTTGGGGGTCCTGTCCACCCCCGACGCATCCTTGGCGCCGTCGAGAGAAAGCACTGAGCTCCAGACCGCGCCGCATCGCCGATGCGGCGCGGCCCTCCGACCCCATCTGCTCGGGCCCCGTCTGGGCGGCCCGGAGACCTTTGGGCAGACGTACCGCAGCAGCGCGGGCACCACGACCGTTCGCACCAGCTTGGTGAGCGGCGAGAAGGGGCCCCACTTGGAGAACTTCCCGTACCGCGACGTGAAATTCGCCAGCCCTGCGGGCCAACTGCGCGTCAGATCTTCTGGCTGGCGCCCCCCCTGCTCCCCAGCCCCTGGGGACGTTCCCTGCGTTTTGGTTTTGCATCTACATGTCCGCCGAGGTTGTGAGACTCATCACCTGCCCCTGACGGACCGGCGGAACGCGCGAAGCGGTTGAATAAAAAAGCCAATCCCAGCAGACCGGGGACGTCTTCCACCCCAGGTCCGAGTACGCTGGGATCTGCTCCCTTCGGCCAGGGTGCAGCTCGCTGAGGTCCGCCAGCGTCACGTTGAACATGTGCGCTGGGAGCAGGCTCGTGGCGTCAAACCGCGCGATCTCCCCCCGCTTCCAGGCTGGGAGCACGCCAGACAGTGGTATGCGCCGGTCCCGCTGAGGGAACACGCGCCACTCCAGGTAGTCGTTCGCGTCCTGCTCAGTGTACTCCTCCCTCACCTCGTGCCATGCGAGGACAGGGTTCTGAAAGAGACGGGTCCTGGATACTGGTCTTCGCCCGAGAAGGCTGTCAATTCTGAGTCGTCTCTTTGACAGCCCAGGGGGAGGAGCTTGGGAGGGCCCGTGGAGGCCGAAAACGGCCCGAATACTCAGGACACATTTTACCTCAGAACCACTGTTCTTTGCTTGCACCACCAAGAAACATCCATATCCACAGCTGCCGGGATCCTGACCCTGGGGGAGCATTGAACTTCGACGCTCTTCCGCCAGCGAGGGCGGTCAGTTCACTAAATCCACATCCACGACTACTCGAGAGGTCCCTGAGACCCTGGGGCGCGACTCTCAGGCGGTGGATATGGACACGACAATATCCTTGTGAACATGTGTATAACCCTGTGCTTACATACTAGAACTATCGCGCCCGCTACGCGCGCACTCAGGTTCTAGCGCAGTCAGGGGGGCCACTGGAAGAGCTTGGACAGATCTACCATGCACAAGCACGAAAACTCATGGTCTTATTCATTGGGCCGAGTATGCACACACGCGAGCCATAGTCCGTTCCATCACTACCCCTTAGCACCGTTAGTTGCCGTCGTCTCCCCCGTCCTCCGCACCATGTTCCCGCAGAGGCTCAGGGAAAATTGTGTCTTCGTGGGGTCCTCTTGACACTCCCCCGCTTTCGTCATCCTCGTTACTGCTCGGCATCATCCTGATGGAATACTCATATTCGTCATGGCAAACACATTTGCCCAAATCCGCCGGCCCCCTTGTGGGGCCACCAGGCTGTAGGCACGTGATTCGCAGTTTCCTGTACCAGTTGTAGCTTGTAGTTTCCAGTGTTACAGTTCTGCTTCTTGCTGGTTACTGTAACTAGTTGATTGACCGCGCGAGGGGGGGGGAGGCCCAAACGGGATTTTTAGCGTCTCCTGGGCGCGTTGTCTGAATTGCTGGGGGGGCTCGAAATCGACACCCCTCACGCAGATCCGCGGGGTCAGGGTCCAAAAACACATGGGATTTGCCACATTTCTGAAATTCGGTGCCACCCCTCACGCAGATCCGCGGGGTCAGGGTCCAAAAACACATGGGATTTGCCACATTTCTGAAATTCGGTGCCACCCCTCACGCAGATCCGCGGGGTCAGGGTCCAAAAACACATGGGATTTGCCACATTTCTGAAATTCGGTGCCACCCCTCACGCAGATCCGCGGGGTCAGGGTCCAAAAACACATGGGATTTGCCACATTTCTGAAATTCGGTGCCACCCCTCACGCAGATCCGCGGGGTCAGGGTCCAAAAACACATGGGATTTGCCACATTTCTGAAATTCGGTGCCACCCCTCACGCAGATCCGCGGGGTCAGGGTCCAAAAACACAGGGGATTTGCCACATTTCTGAAATTCGGTGCCACCCCTCACGCAGATCCGCGGGGTCAGGGTCCAAAAACACAGGGGATTTGCCACATTTCTGAAATTCGGTGCCACCCCTCACGCAGATCCGCGGGGTCAGGGTCCAAAAACACATGGGATTTGCCACATTTCTGAAATTCGGTGCCACCCCTCACGCAGATCCGCGGGGTCAGGGTCCAAAAACACAGGGGATTTGCCACATTTCTGAAATTCGGCGCCACCCCTCACGCAGATCCGCGGGGTCAGGGTCCAAAAACACAGGGGATTTGCCACATTTCTGAAATTCGGTGCCACCCTTCACGCACATCCATCGCAAGGCGTGGTAACCCAAACTGCGAGAACTCCCTCGGCCCTTTAATCGCAAGGTGTGGTAACCAAGCCCGTAAACCATACACGTCTTACCAATCGCCAGGTGTGGTAACCCCTCTTGTGATCAGTTGGTTTTGCTGATTGCGAATCGGCTTCGCATGAATTTTCGATACTGCTTCACGACAGCGCCAAGGCCTCATGACTTAGCTCTTCCATGGCCCATTCTCCGAGAGAGGGGGCCGGCGGCAGGGGGCGAAGCCCTTACGGATCATCATCATCGACACCACCATCATGGCTGACATCGTCGGTATACTGCTGTTGGTGATGCCGCGACGTCAAGGCCGCACGTCATCATTACCATAACCATCGTCCGCACCCGAATCATGATCTGTGTTCTCTTTCCCATCATTCTCATCACCACCATCACGACAAAAAAAACACTGCGCGAACCGTCGACACACACATCGCCGCACCCATAACCACCCTCATCACCACTATGGTCATCAACTTCGCTCTCATGGTCGCCGTCGGCAGAATGTTCCCGGAAAGACCTCCAGGAACATCTTGCGTTCGTGGGGTCCTCTTGATTAGTTTTGGGTGCACCTGGGGTGTCTTCGGGCTCTCCTGGGCCGTCGTGTGGGCCTTCACTGGGGTTTCTGGATTGTTGAGGCGCTCAGCTTCTAGCGCAGTCCGTGGACCCACCGGATGAGCTTGGACAGAGCTATCATATGCACAAGCGCGTGCCATAGTCACATCCTCATGGTCGTCATCTTTCCTAGCTTCTTCGTCACTCTCACCTTCCTCATCATGAGCAGCGTCGTCATGCCAACACTCATGGTCTTTATCATTATATACTCGTCATTGGTAACAGCCTTGGCCTGGTGTTGCTGATGATGCTGCACATCAAGCTCGTGCGTCGTAATGCTCGCCAGCATCAGCAACAACATCGTCCTCTCATTCGACTCATCATCCTTATTCCCAACTCATCATCATCCAGACCGTCGTCACGATGGGACCGGCTACGCTTAGCGGCCATAGTCTCATCCATCGTCATCATCGCGCGCGCTCGGGTTCTAGCGCAGGTCCAGTGGTTGCTGCAAGAGCGATGTCGGCTCGAGTATGCACAAACGCAGGCCATACTCGCTGCCATCATTAGCCTATTATTACCGTCGTCTCCCCCGTCCTCCTCATCCTCAGTATTCTTTGGCATGATACTGATGTTAATACTCACGTTTGTCATGGCCATCATTATTGTCAACAATCATCATCACCGCCATCCTGGCTGTAATTATTGGTTAAATGCTGAAGGTGCGACGTGAAAGCCGCACGTCAACAATATCGTAACCACGTCCGCACTCGGATATGTATCTTCAATGTCTGTCCCATCATCATCATCATCATCATCATCATCATCATCATCATCATCATCATCATCATCATCATCACCACCACCGCCATCACGATGGAAAGCACTACGCAAACCTTGCAGGTCGTTACAGCCGTCGTCTCACCCATCACCACCGTCATCACCACGATGGTCATCCACTTCGCCATCATCGCCGTCGTCGACGAGATGTTCCCAAAGAGGCCTCTGGGAACATGGTGGTTCGTGGTGTCCTCTTGACACTCCCCCTGGCATCACCCTGATGGTAATACGCATACTAGAACCACGCGCGCACACGCTTCGCGCGCTTAGGTTCTAGCAAGCTCTGGTTGTAGTCTAGTGTTCGGCGTGGGAGGACATGTCACACGGATCGTGCCCCTTTAGGGAGCTCCACCAGCACCAAATACAGGCTTGGCTTAGCGTCCTCACGCCCATGCCGGCACACGAATCAAGGGGATCGCGCCACACAGGGATCTCCACCTACGTCCCCAAAGACTAAGTTCGCATAGTAGCACGCCCCTGACGCGGATCGTGCCCAGCAAGTAACCGCATTTGCGGCACCAGTGGGAAACTTCATAGCGTTGCCCGGCTTACTTCAGCACACCTTTCACTCAGGTCGTGGCCCGCAGGGACTTCCACGGACGGTCCCAGAGGCAAGCTTCGCATGCCGCCCCCCCCTCCCGCCTACTTCGGCACACTGATCTCATGGATAGTGACCCACACGGATCTCCACCTCAAGGCCCAAAGACAAGGTTCGTACAACGCCCCCCCCACATGTCGGCACACCCGTCACGCAGATCATGCACCAGAAGGAGCTCCACCCATGGCACGACGTTCCAC